CTTTGCAGAGCGGAGCACCTTGTTTAAAGCTCTCTTTTCTTTATCTGTGATGTTTCCAAACCACACAGACACAGAACCAACAAGTAAACTCTCAATGGTGCAGCGATAAAAGTTAAGCACAATCTTAGAGTTAGTGGTAAATTCTCTAAGTTTACGCAGAAAGTAGAGACGCTGACGAGCTTTCTTAACGACTCGGTCAGTGTTTTTAACCCATTTCAGGTTAGACAGAGTTAAACCCAGAAACTTGCACTCCTCTACGATCTGCACCTGGGAGTTGTCGATTACGACAGGCAAATGAGAACTATTGCGACTGAAGTCGTAGACCAGTTCACATGTTTTGGATGTGTTCAACTGGAGGTTGTTAGTTTGACTCCACTGAACCACATTTTGTATCTCTGCTCTATAAGAGGATTCATCAGTGTCACTGATGAGACCGATGATGGTGGTGTCATCAGCATATTTGATGATCAAGTTTGAGTCAGAGGAGGACACACAATCGTGAGTGTACAAAGTAAAAAGAAAAGGACTCAAAATACATCCCTGAGGAGAACCAGTGCTCACAGAAACAACATCAGAAAAACAGTCATTGATTTTCACTCTCTGAGATCTGTCAGTTAAAAAGATAAAAATCCATTTACACATGGCAACACTTAAACCCAGAGACATGAGCTTTTCAATCAGTTTACCTGGGACAAGGCAGTTAAAAGCAGAGCTATAATCGATGAAAAGCATTCTGGCCACAGATTGACTAGTGTCCAAGTGACTGTAGACAGAGTTCAGAGCAAAGGAGATGCATCCTCCACACTCCTGTTCTGTCTGTAGCAAACTGGAGCGGGTCAACACTCACAGGGATCTGGCTCTTAATGAAGTCCAGCACAAGCCGCTCAAAAGTTTTCATAAGAACAGACGTGAGGCCACAGGACGATAGTCATTCAGGCATGTCACAGGAGTTTTCTTAGGAACTGGATTGATGGTCGACTCTTTAAAGCAGTTCGGCACAGTACAGTTCCTTAGCGACAGGTTAAAAATGTCTGTTAGCACAGGGGCAAGTTGCTCAGAGCACAGTTTCAGGACACGAGGAGGGATGCCGTCCGGGCCTGGGGCTTTCCGGACTGTGGTCCTGGACAAGACATGCCTGACTTCCTCCTGAGTCACAGTGAAGGTACCTTGATTGAAACACTCAGGGAATACAGTAGGACAGGCATCAGCGGATTCAAAGCGACAGTAGAACGTGTTCAGCTCGTTTGGCAGAGCTTGGCCGACAGATGCAGTTTTCCCAGCGCTAGGTTTCCACGATGTGATGGCTTTAATACCGTTCCACATGCGCCGAGGGTCATCTTCCTCAAAATAACTCTTTAACCTGTCCCCGTAACTGCGCTTTGCAGATTTAATAGAACGTTTCAATGAGTAACAGGATAGCTTATAAGCAACTGTATCATTTGATTGAAACGCCAACGCACGCTCATGAAGATTCAGTTTCACTTCCGCGTTCATCCAAGGGTTTTGACTAAAATGTTCTTTAATGACCTTCTGTGGGACACAGCCGTCAATACAGAAGCGTATGTATCCAGACACAGCGTCACAGAATTCATTGACGTCCTCTGACTGAAACACAGACCAGTCCGTAGCATCAAAACAACCTTGTAGCTTCATGCTAGCCTCTTCAGACCAACACTGCACAGTGCGAGAGGTTGGTTTATGTTCCCTGCTCCTCTGAGTATACGAAGGAAGAAGGAGAACAGAGGAGTGGTCAGACTTTCCAAAAGGAGGTCTGAGACTGGACCTGTAAGGCAAGGCAAGGCAAGGCAAGGCAAGGCAAGTTTATTTATATAGCACAATTCATACACAAGGCAATTCAAAGTGCTGAACAAAACAAGAAAGCATTAAAATCATAAATAATCACAGAACATTAAAAAGAAAGATACAAATATAAAATCCCTCAGTTGTATGCACAGCTAAACAGAACTGTCTTTAACCTGGCTTTAAACATTGTCAGAGAGGAGGCCTGTCTCACATCTCCAGGAAGACTGTTCCAGATTTTAGCAGCATGAATCTGAAAAGCAGCCTCCCCATGTTTAGTTCTGACTCTGGGCACTAACAGGAGTCCAGTCCCTGTGCTCCTCAGAGTCCGGGCTGGTTCATATGGGACTAACATGTCACTAATATATTTTGGTGCGAGGCCATGGAGAGACTTGTACACAAGCAGAGCTGTTTTAAAGTCTATTCTCTGAGCCACAGGAAGCCAGTGCAGAGACCTGAGGACTGGACTAATGTGGTCGTACTTCCTGGTTCTTGTCAGGACTCGAGCTGCTGCATTTTGAATGTACTGCAGCTGTTTTACAGCCTGTTTGGACAGACCTGTGAGCAGGCCATTGCAGTAGTCTAACCTACTGGTTAGCTCCCAGTAGCTCCCTTCACGTTACTGTAGCAGTGATCCAGAACATGTGCTCACGATTCGAGTGTCCGTGCACCAGCGCTGATTAATTAAAAAGCACACACCTCAAAATAACATTGGAAAATTGCAACTTGGGGTTCCTACAGACTTTCTTAACACTAATTAAATCATTTTCCCCGAATAAATTAATTTCTAAGTCATACAAATCCATTCAGCAAGGCAAAGAGCCTAACACAGAGTACATTAAGAGGAGATGGGAAATGGAAGGTAATATGCAAATTTCAAATGAAAGTTGGGTGAATATATGTAAATTACAATGGAGCACTACTAGTTCAAATACCTGGCGTGAGTTTTGTTGGAAAAATATAATCAGGTTTTTTATCACACCTATTCAAAAGAGACACCAGGGTGTTGGAGACTTATGCTGGAGGCTCTGTGGATCCTCAGGAGCAAATCATTTCCACATTTTCTGGGAATGCCCATTGTTAAGCCATTATTGGTCACAAATATGTGAACATATTAATCATATATTTGGTAGTAAAGTACCTTGCAATTTCGAAAATGTATATTTGGGCAATGCAGATGTTACCAACTGGAGAAATAAGGACAAGAGGTTGCTTTGGACATTACTGGCAGCGAGTAAGAAAGCCATAACCAGGAAGTGGCTAAAACCGGACCCTCCAACCATCGAAGAATGGGTCAACATAATTCAAGAAGTGTACATTATGGAGAAACTTTCATTTACTCTCAAGATTCAAAGGGACATGTTTTACCAAATCTGGTCAAAATGGACTGAGTATGTCAAACCCATACGGTCAGACTTTGTATGAGAGGTAACTGTTCTAAGTGAATGAAAAACATTTTTGTACAGGTACTCTTCCCACAATTGTATGTTCATGTTTAAAAATTGAAAAAAATACAAATTATTAAAAAGCACACACCTCGGAGTCTCCTCCACTCCCGGGGGGGGGCTGAACAGCAGAGTCCGGAACGTTCGAGTGGAGCCACGTCTCGCTGAGGCAGAACACAGCGCAGTCCCGGGCCTCGCGCTGGCTCTGGACCTGACACAGGAGCTCGTCCGTCTTGTTGGGCAGAGACTGGACGTTGGCCAGGTAGATGGAGGGCAAAGGGGTCCTGGAGGAGCGGCTTCGAACGAGCAGACCGCCTCGCCTTCCCCGGTGTCTGCGCCTCCTTCGCCGACTCGAGGTGCCCAGCTCCACACCGCGGAGAGAACGCCGGAGACGCCCAGTCCCCTCGCTCTGTTGGGGGCCACCGCCGCGGCCCGCCTGCCGTGTTCCACGGGCCTCTCGAGTGGGACACTCGAGGAAGTTTGTGCACCTCAGTTCGGGTTGTACGAGCCGTACACACGCAAGGTCCCGAATGTTAAGAAGCGCCTCTCGGTCATACTTCGCAGTGGCAAGTGACTCAAAGACAAACAGCAACAAAACACAGATTGTGCACACTAGAGCTCTCACTGCGGCGCCATGACACGGCGCCATCTTGCACATGACGAGAGTCATAATTATTGTTCAGAAGTTTCATCTTGGAGTTGCTTCTGTTGATCCCAGAGTGAAGGAGTTCCTCTGTCACCACCATAACAGCCGCTTAATCCTCCTCCTTGTTGAAAGTATTGAATTCATTCAAACTATACAAGGCGTCCGCTGTTGAAAATAGTTTTCACTCGAAATAACAGTTATACCAAGCCGCAAAAAGCTCCTACCTGTCTGTTTTCCCGCATCACGCTGTCTGTTTGATAGGACACAAAACACTTCCTGTCCACGCACCCTTCGCACCACGCGATTGCAACCCAGCAATCTTAGCTTTAAAATGGATGGTTCAGGCACGAGAGTCGGTCTTCAGGGGCCTCCAGGAGACGCTTTCTGAAACCTGAGCACAAAAACAACTGATATCAGGGTTTGGTTTGTGTAAAATGTTTCTCTAACTTAAATCCTAAACTTTAGCCTCTGACTTGTGTCACCTATACCCTATCCTCAACCCCCTAATCCCAAAGTAGTGTTTTACTCTTAAAGCTGCATTACCTGACTTTATTTTTGTATTCATTACAAAAATTCAATCCATATCCATGCAGTGCATCGGGATAAACGTCCTTTTGTAGAAAAAGTAGCGCAGGTTTGTGCTGGCGTGTCATTTTATTTTAGATCGAGTTTTGGTGAAACAAGGAAGAGAATGTGTTTCGGGTCCAGATTGTGACCAATCACAGCGGACCACTGGCCCCCACTTTCTTGCGAAAAGCCACAGGTCTCTTGTTAGCACTGTTATGGCTTGGCTCTGAGCCACAACAAGAATAGGGGAGACGAGGCGGAATTAAAGTGCTCAAAAGTATATTTAATTGGGAGAACGGAATAACAAATATTAATATATACAAAAAGGTAAAGTATGGGGTGTGTTATGTAGAAGTCAGTGGTGTAGGTGCAGGTAATGCTTGTGTGCAGTGAGGGCGCCGTATGTGCGATATGAATGTAGGTGCATAAACCAAAAGACAAACTCAATAGTGCATGTTGAAGGAGAGCCAGGGAGGTGATGCAACAGGCACCAGGGCAGGAGTGGAATGGCCCTCAGGAGCGTGCAGAGAGAGCGCGTGCACCTATCCTCCAGGCTAAATGCGCGTGCGCTGATTGCGTGCGCGAACACGCCCACTGCTTCAGCGCCAACTGGTCCCCCTGTGCACACAGGAGACAGGAGCGGTTAGAACAGCTTTAACCTGAAGTGATAACCGAGCGGGTTACACTGACCTAAGCCTAACTAAAGTAAACTACTGTTTCACTAAGGCTTAAATAATAATTAAATATTGAATAACTAGTGCTTTACTACAGAAGCTTGTTGGGTTCACTTGTGAGTGTGTTTTTTTTTCCGCTGGTATCATGTTATTTCATGATACTTTCATGAAATAACATGATAAATATCATGTTATTTCATGATACTTTCATGAAATAACATGATAAATATCATGTTATTTCTTGATACTTTCATGAAATAACATGATAGTTGTGTATCATGAAATAACATGATAAATATCATGTTATTTCATGAAACACAACTATCATGTTATTTCATGAAACAAATTTATCATGAAATAACATGATACCGTAGATACAGAAGAAGAAGCTGTCAGCTTATGATAAATTGGTATCATGAAATAACATGATAGTTGTGTATCATGAAATAACATGATAGTTGTGTATCATGAAATAACATGATTGTTGTGTATCATGAAATAACATGATAGTTGTGTATCATGAAATAACATGATAGTTGTGTATCATGAAATAACATGATAGTTGTGTATCATGAAATAACATGATAGTTGTGTATCATGAAATAACATGATAGTTGTGTTTCTTCTGGCCTTAAGGCCAATGCTCTACCAACTGAGCTACTGTCGCCCACTTTTTTTTAAGTGTTAAACAAAATCAATCATACTTTCTTCTGTAACGATGAGGACGTCTGTGAGAGCGCAGACCTGCAGCACACAAATATCACATCGTGGCAGTGGCACGATTATAGATTAGAAGTAGTAGCAGTACTAGTGGCAGTTGTGGTCGTAGAGGTAAGAAAGTAAGTAAGTAATCTTTATTTGTTTTTGTTTTTTAAATTGTATTTCTTGTACACAAACCAAAAGTGAACAACAGGTCATCCAACCCAAATAAACTTATACATTCACTCATTCACACCAGCATTCTCACAACTAATCTATAACTTATTATAAAAACTGTTCTTTTAGTATAGTCCTTGTTGTCATCATCTTAATATTCCTGGTAAGGCAAGGCAAGTTTATTTGTACAGCAGAATTCATACATAAGGCAACTCAAAGAGTATTAAAATCATAAATAATCACAGTACATTAAAAAGAAAGATAAGATTTACAATCCCTCAGTTGTAGCACAGCTAAACAGAACTGTCTTTAACCTGGTTTTAAACATTGTCAGAGAGGAGGCCTGTCTCACATCTTCAGGAAGATTGTTCCAGATTTTAGCAGCATGAATCTGTAAAGCAGCCTCCCCATGTTTAGTTCTGACTCTGGGCACTAACAGGAGTCCAGTCCCTGTGCTCCTCAGAGTCCCAGCAGGAGTCCAGTCCCTGTGCTCCTCAGAGTCCCAGCAGGAGTCCAGTCCCTGTGCTCCTCAGAGTCCCAGCAGGAGTCCAGTCCCTGTGCTCCTCAGAGTCCGGGCTGGTTCATATGGGACTAACATGTCACTGATCTATTTTGGTGCGAGGCCATGGAGAGACTTGTAACAAGCAGAGCTGTTTTAAAGTCTATTCTCTGAGCCACAGGAAGCCAGTGCAGAGACCTGAGGACTGGACTAATGTGGTCGTACTTCCTGGTTCTAGTCAGGACTAATGTGGTCGTACTTCCTGGTTCTAGTCAGGACTAATGTGGTCGTACTTCCTGGTTCTAGTCAGGACTAATATGGTCGTACTTCCTGGTTCTAGTCAGGACTAATGTGGTCGTACTTCCTGGTTCTAGTCAGGACTAATGTGGTCGTACTTCCTGGTTCTAGTCAGGACTAATATGGTCGTACTTCCTGGTTCTAGTCAGGACTAATATGGTCGTACTTCCTGGTTCTAGTCAGGACTAATGTGGTCGTACTTCCTGGTTCTAGTCAGGACTAATATGGTCGTACTTCCTGGTTCTAGTGAGGACTCGAGCTGCTGCATTTTGAATGTACTGCAGCTGTTTTACAGCCTGTTTGGACAGACCTGTGAGCAGGCCATTGCAGTAGTCTAACCTACTGGAGACAAATGCATGGATAAGAATCTCCAAGTCTGCTTTAGACACTATGTTTTTGATCCTGGCAATGTTTTTTTAGATGGTAAAAAGCTGCTGATGTTACTGATTTGATGTGGCTATTAAAATGTAAGTCTGAGTCCAGTATTACCCCTAGATTTCTGACCTTGTTTGAAGGTTTTAGGGAGAGAGACTGTAGGTGACAGATGACGCTCTCTCTTTGTTTCTGGACCAAAGAAAATCATTTCAGTTTTGTCTGTGTTTAACTGAAGGAAGTTATTTCTCATCGCGATCTAAAATTATATTTATAACTAAATGTATAAATGGGACATAATCATCCCCCAAAACACCGAACAAAATGTTCATGAGTGTGAGTACTAAAGTAACTCCCATAGTTTTAAGCCAGAACTGAACGGACATCCAAAACCTTTCAACAAATGGACAATTATAAAACAAATGCATGAAGTCCTCCTCTTCCTCCCTCTTCCTCCTCTTCCTCCCTCTTCCTCCCTCTTCCTCCCTCTTCCTCCTCTTCCTCCGCTTCCTCCCTCTTCCTCCTCTTCCTCCCTCTTCCTCCTCTTCCTCCCTCTTCCTCCTCTTCCTCCCTCTTCCTCCTCTTCCTCCCTATTCCTCCTCTTCCTCCTCTTCCTCCTCTTCCTCCCTATTCCTCCTCTTCCTCCCTCTTCCTCCCTATTCCTCCTCTTCTCTTCCTCCTCTTCCTCCCTCTTCCTCCTCTTCCTCCCTCGTCCTCCCTCTTCCTCCTCTTCCTCCCTCTTCCTCCTCTTCCTCCCTCTTCCTTCTCTTCCTCCTCTTCCTCCCTCTTCCTCCTCTTCGTCCCTCTTCCTCCCTCTTCCTTCTCTTCCTCCTCTTCCTCCTCTTCCTCCTCTTCCTCCCTCTTCCTTCTCTTCCTCCTCTTCCTCCCTCTTCCTCCTCTTCGTCCCTCTTCCTCCCTCTTCCTCCCTCTTCCTTCTCTTCCTCCTCTTCCTCCCTCTTCCTCCTCTTCCTCCCTCTTCCTCCCTCTTCCTCCTTTACAAAACCTCTCCTTATCTGCATTTTACAGATATTTTTGGTTGTTTTATAGAAAGTTGAAATATTCTAGAGTAGGAGTCTATAGTGGTGTGATATACTGTTTAGAAATACATTTTCCAAAAAAAGGTACATTAAATGGATGTTTCCAAAACAAACAGGGTTCATGAGGAAAAAGAGCAGCACTCTTTGTGTCAGTTCCAGTTGTATATTATTTTGTTCTTCTTAGTCCTAGACAGAAATTTAAGACATCTTTGCTTTCCAGACCTTAGGGATCGCTGAAAGTAACTGGTTAAATCTGAAACAATCCAAACAGTTTAAGTTTTTTACTAAATATTGATTAGAAATAAAATCACCATCTTCATCTAAGAGATCATTAACTAAAATGAGTCCATTGTTAATGCATTCGTCCCACAGTAATGGTTTGTCCATGAAGGTGATACTCTGTATGTCTTCCATTGTGTCTGGAGGGTAGTCCTGGAAATTCAACCAAGCCTTCAGTACGTCTGTGAAAAAAGGTGATCGGCCATAACTCTGTGATATAACATCAAAGTGTGTTGATCTAATTTGATAAAAGGGGAATACATTGTTTGAGAAAACAAAAATGTTGAATGTAATCTTAACCCAGGAGGCTTTTAATGTGCAGTCCATAGTATAATCTGAAGTAATTAATATTTATTTATATAGCGCCTTTCACAGAACAGTCACAAAGCGGTTTATAATTGTGGGCATTTGTCTCTCACTCCACACAGAGATGGGAGTGAGGTAGAAGTACTAGTAACAGCAGTAGTGGCAGTAGTAGTAGCACCACTCACTGTTGCAGTACAGTACAGTACACAGTAGTAGTAGTACTAGTACTGCACGTCCTCCAACAACAGGTGCTAGTATCTGGACCGAACACTGCAGAGCTACAGGAGCTGAGGAGTACAAATATTTTTCCTATAGATCCTGGGAACAGAACAGAATACTTTCAACAGTGCTAACGTAACAGGGTTAAACCCAAACATTAACAAAGCTACACAGAGAAGCTTTGACAGAATCAAAGTACAACTACTTCAGGACTGTAGTCCCAGGGTTAGGTTAGCGTTTGCCTGTACTCACCTGGGTGAGGCTTGTGCATGGGGCGGGGCTATTCCGGCTTGTGCCCTTCACTGTGGTATGCACCATAGACTGTGAATATTAAGTAAGTATGCACGCCCTCAGCCTGAGGCACTGCATGAGGATCATAATTCACACATACAGTATTAAAATGTGGCTTTCTGGCAGTAAAACATGTCTATAACTAATACATCAGATTGTCCTCATTGTTCAGAGTTTGGCATCATAACTTCATGTACTTACACTTTTACTTTCTTCAAGTACTTTGAGTAGGTGTGTGTCCATATATATATATATATATATATACATACTATATACAGTATATATACAGTGCCTTGCAAAAGTATTCGGCCCCCTTGAACCTTTCAACATTTCAGTCTTCAAACATAAAGATATAAAATTTTAATTTTTTGTCATAAATCAACAACAAGTGGGACACAATCGTGAAGTGGAACGAAATTTATTGGATAATTTAAACTTTTTTAACAAATAAAAAACTGAAAAGTGGGGCGTGCAATATTATTCGGCCCCTTTACTTTCAGTGCAGCAAACTCAGTCCAGAAGTTCAGTGAGGATCTTTGAATGATCCAATGTTGTCCTAAATGACTGATGATGATAAATAGAATGCTCCTGTGTGTAATCACGTCTCCGTATAAATGCACCTGCTCTTTGATAGTCTCAGGGTTCTGTTTAAAGCGCAGAGAGAACCATGAAGACAAAGGAACACACCAGGCAGGTCCGAGATACTGTTGTGGAGAAGTTTAAAGCCGGATTTGGAAACAAAAAGATTTCCCAAGCTTTAAACAGCTCAAGGAGCACTGTGCAAGCAATTATATTGAAATGGAAGGAGTATCAGACCACTGCAAATCTACCAAGACCCGGCCGTCCCTCCAAACTTTCATCTCAAACAAGGAGAAGACTGATCAGAGATGCAGCCAAGAGGCCCATGATCACTCTGGATTAATCCAGAATGGCCAAGTCAAAGTCCAGACCTGAATCCAACCGAGAATCTGTGGAAAGAGCTGAAGACTGCTGTTCACAAACGCTCTCATCCAACCTCACTGAGCTCGAGCTGTTTTGCAAGGAAGAATGGAAAAGAATTCCAGTCTCTCGATGTGCAAAACTGATAGAGACATACCCCAAGCAACTTGCAGCTGTAATTGCAGCAAAAGGTTGCGCTACAAAGTATTAGCGCAAGGGGGCCGAATAATATTGCACGCCCCACTTTTCAGTTTTTTATTTGTTAAAAAAGTTTAAATTATCCAATAAATTTCGTTCCACTTCACGATTGTGTCCCACTTGTTGTTGAAAAAAATATTTGTATGTCTTTATGTTTGAAGCCTGAAATGTGGCGAAATGTTGAAAGGTTCAATGGGGCCGAATACTTTTGCAAGCCACTGTATATAGTCTCTGACCTGGCTGCAGCCGCGTCACCGTTCCAAACTTCACGTCCTTCTTAAAGGACACACAGCTGTAGACCCCAGAGTCAGATTTTTGATGTCCTCCAGACTGAAGGAGTCTATAGATGGACCCCTCCTCTTCTCCCCGGGGTTCATAGTGTAAACAGAGACAATGAAATCCACCTCCCCTCTGGACTCCAGGACCCAAAACCAGTCCACAGTGGGGCCTGGGTCTGGGACCGAGCACTGCAAGGAAACCCTGGACCCTTCAGGGACCTGCTGCACCACAAAAGGTGTTTGACAAAATGCATATCAAAGCTGGGCACGTTCAAACCACACAATAATATCTGTGTAAAAACCCTCTTGCTCGTTCCTCGCTCTCAAAACAGTTTGGTTCTATCTCTAGTTTTCACATGTATTTTTGGGCACTCACTCAGCCAATCAGCGATCAGCGTCAAAGAGTCCCTCATATGGCTTTTTCTGTATGCAAAAGACAACATGTTTTCAGATGAGAGGAAGACTGCGTGTTCTGGTCAGATTTGTTCACAACATTGACATTTCCCCACGGAAGATAAGATCGATCTTTATTTGTCCCACTGTGGGGAAATTCCGATGTAAATGTTGCAAACATTACAAAAGAAAAAAAGAACACTAACTAAAAAGTTAGTTCAACTCAAAGTTTCAAGGTAACTGGCTGCACGCGACTTTTGAGTTGAAGCATCAACTTAATTCTTTACGTTTTGAAGAACTACAATCATTAAGTTGTGTCAGTGTTTCTAGTTCTGCCAAATATGTTTTTGTAATTCAAGTTTCTGGAACTTTCAAGTCTGTAAAAACGTACTATTTTAAGTTCAGATCACAGTCTGCTGCAATAACTTACTATTTTGAGTTTAAATGACGCCCACATTATATCATCCTGTTTCATCCTCATGTGTATTTATACAGCGTTTTCACAGACCAAGGTCACTTGGGTAGGGGAAACCGGAGCACCCGGAGGAAACCTGTGCAGACACAGAGAACATGTATATTCCATTCAGAAAGGCCCTGTTAAGACCGGGATTTGAACCCAGGACCTTCTTGCCAAGAAGCAAGAGTGCTATCCACTCAGCCACCGTGCCACACACGCTGTAAAACCGAATAGTGGGAAAACTAATGTTTCTTAAGGAAACTGGTTCCCTCAATAAAGATTAGTTTTATAAATACCATAAACATAACAGTATAAGTTCATTAAACACAGTCTTATTAACACTCATTAGCTCACTCGACTAACTCAAACATTGTTTGTACTAATCCGTTTTAGTTTTATAAATGCCATGAACGTAACAATACAGCTCAGTCCACAGTCATGTATTAGTCTGAAGGTCCTGAACTCTACAACCTCAGATTGAGAAGCAATAATGCTCTCAACTCAATTAGAGTTTATCTGAAAGACTGACCCAGGGATTATATGGGGCTACTTTGGCCCCGTCCATTAGGGTTGGTAATAATAAACACCATTTATTTGGTATAATTAGTTTAATCAAAATGTTGAACAAACACACACACACATATGTGTGCACACAAACACACACACACACACACATGTGTGCACACAAACACACACACACACACACACATGTGTGCACACAAACACACACACACACACATGTGTGCACACAAACACACACACACACACACACACGTGTGCACACACACACACACACACATGTGTGCACACAAACACACACACATACACACACTTGTGCACACACACACACATACACGTTTTTGTTACCTGGTGGGTCCCTTTGACAGGGCCGTTCAGAATGGGACCCATAGACATAATCTTTTTTTACCAAGACTTTAAGTAATACAAAACAGTCAATAGAAACCAAACAACTATTTTAAAGGAATTTTATTTTAGATTTTGTTTTCGAATTGCAGTGATTCTATTTTTGACATAGAATTTAATGCCACTCCATGTCCGATGTCTCAGGTCATCTGGTGAGGCATTAATGCAGGCCAGGCAGTGAGACTTCCCAGGGACCTTTCCAGTCTGTATGAAAGGTGTCATGGTCTTCTCCACAGCCTTCACCTCAGATGCAGACCATGGCTTTCTTACACGTTCTAGGGAGAGAAATAAAAATATATTAGCAATATACACTCCCAGGGTGAGGACCAAGCAGCCTGGCTGTAATCCCCCACCTGGTACACTTACCAGAAGGGGCACTGCCACTACCATGGGGTGCATCTGGATGAATGGTTGAAGGTTCTCCGCTTGAAGTTTCTTTTAGCCCGTCCGTTTGTGAGAGGATCTCTACTGCTCTCCCTGTCGCACAGAAAATAAAAATACAAGTGGCCTTTAGGGGAAAAAAATCATACATATTTTAATAATATCAAGAATTACCTTCAGGCTCAATTTGTATCTGGTCGAGGCTCTTTCCTTCGAATTCCGTCACTCTTCCCTGCTCCATGGCCATCAACACTTTGCTGATTTTGGCCAGCTCCAGTGTCCCCTCTGGTAGTCTGTAATATTGCCTGTGGATGCGAATGTCATGGCCGAGGAAGTTGGCAAGTATGTCCATCTCATTCTCTTTCATATTGAGAACTGTAGACATAGTAGCTATGTGCTTTCTAAGTTTGGTTGAGGATAGCATCTCTGGATGCACCGCACCACATTCTTTGGCTACCTGGCGTAGGGAGTCTGATCCCCTGATGTGGGTGTCTGCGCCCGGGCGGGAAAAGAAGTATGGGTTATGGTCAGAGATGGAACAGGCCCTTCTGTTCTCCACCAGCACCTCCATCGAAGCAATCATTTCAGGAGTCAAAAGAACCGGCACTTTCCGACTTCTTTTCCCTTTAATTTCAATGCGTTGAAAATGCTGACACAGCTTTTTCTCAAGTTGGGACAGTCCCAGAGCAATGTCAGAATGGATCCCAGTCTTACTTCTTAAGGTAAAGGCTGTCAGTGGCATCTTTGAAACCTCACCTTCCCTTCTTCGATTGAAAATGATGACCTCACAAAGAGTCAAAACTGCCAGTTTAGACCAATGCTTAGACGTTGGCTCACTTATTAGGGTTTGCACATATTCAGGTCGACATACCTCAATATGTGCATGCATGGCTCTAACGTCCTCAGTCAGAGGGAGCAGGTCCGGAGTGTTCCACTTGGCTTGCCGGAGGGTCTGTAGGGCAGCAGAAGAAACACAGACGTCCCACCTCTTCTCAAAAAGCAGCCGGCTTCGTTGGAGGTTTTTAATAAATAGTTCATCAACACAATGCTCCATTTTTGAGTCACATTCAAGAATATCTGCTAGCTTTCTGAGGCTATGGCCGAGTTTGAGGGCCAAGGATGGAGTCTTGTATTGATTTTTTTCCTCATCATATCCAGCCACAGACCTGACTGCATCAATCACATGGTTAAAGTTGGAAGGAATAAAGAAATCCTTAATTGTTTTCAGTTTCCCTGCGGTTTTTGCTTCGTTAATTAACCTACCGACTTCTCTCATTTTCTGCCTAATGTAATCATGCTTTGTCTTATCATGCCCGTGTTTTAAGTACAGGTGCTCTCCGAGTCTCAGAATCCCCTTTTCTGCTTTGACAACACCCGTGACCTCATCCTGATGCATTGCCGAAATTAAAGACCACAGCTTTTTGCTGATGCCCTCCGGTACAGGCTGGGCTAGGGAGCAGAGGGACTGGACCCTACTTCTACCTGGTTTAGCCTGGGCATCTTTCTGTGAAAGCCGGCACCTGGCCACATGCCTCCACAGCGACTTTCGCTTAAGCAATGCCCCACAGTCTATACAGTGCAAAAACTCACTGGATTTAACTGGGCAATTTGGCTGTTTAGCTGGGACTAAAGTTCCAATGCCGGCCTTTAAAACCTCAAAATTGTGCTCACGGTTTCCACTATTCCTGATCAAATCAAACTGAAGTTTACGTGCTTTAGATTTCACAGGTAGAGCCAATGCTCTGGCTACGTCACTTTCATTTCCATGTTTTCTAGTCAAATGACGGGACATTTTGTGGCAGGACATTGAACAGTAGAGGCAGAAGTGTCTCTTGCTGTATACTCGCCCCCCATTTTTCTTCTTTTGCAGCTGCATGATAACAATCTTATTTGCCTTTGGTTCGTCACTTTCCGAGTCTTGAAGAAAAGTGTTTTTGATTTTTCTTTTTCCATACTTTTTTACAGGTTTCTTCTTGACAGTTAAATCGTCAGAATCTGAGTCGACTTCATCAATTAGGGACTCTTGACTAAGCTGCACAAACAACAAATAATTTGTAATCATTCTATATAACAATTTGAAGTCATGACTTGTAGTCAGCACTTACCAGTGGTTTGTAAGCGTGCGCTTCAGTGTGCTCCTCCATGATTTCTTGCAGCCTAATGAACCACACACTTGCACCTTTTTCTAGCCTGACACCTGATTTCCTCTGTTGTGCTGCTCCATGATTGGCTCCAGCCTGCTGGACTGAAATTGCCCCAGTGTGCCCCTCCTTGATATCCCGCAACCCACCACCAGGGTTCCGACACATAACACACTTTTTTCAGGAAAGTAAACCTCCAGGGGTCCTTTCCATATTTTTACAGAGACTGCATAAGGACTGTTAGAAAAGCATTACCCATTGATTATTAAGCTTGGACCAGTGGGGTCCGGTGTTCGGGCCCCACCACGTAAAACCAGTCCCCATGACGTGAGTGGAATCTCAGGTTATGGAACCCACCAGGAGTTGAAAACAAGTGCACACAGACACACACTCACACACACACACACAGACACACACGTTATCCACTGAACTACTGCACTTTGCATCAGAGCAATTTGGACAAGTGTGAGATGTGTCTTTCCCTAAACAACGCGATCCGTACTCAAGCTGTTAGCTATAGTAGCTGTTAGCTACAGTAGCTGTTAGCTACAGTAGCGGTTAGCTCTAGTAGCAGTTAGCTACAGTAGCAGTTAGCTACAGTAGCTGTTAACTACAGTAGCAGTTAGCTACAGTAGCAGTTAGCTACAGTAGCTGTTAGCTATAGTAGCTGTTAGCTATAGTAGCTGTTAGCTACAGTAGCAGTTAGCTCTAGTAGCAGTTAGCTACAGTAGCAGTTAGCTACAGTAGCTGTTAACTACAGTAGCAGTTAGCTACAGTAGCAGTTAGCTACAGTAGCAGTTAGCTATAGTAGCTGTTAGCTATAGTAGCTGTTAGCTACAGTAGCAGTTAGCTACAGTAGCAGTTAGCTACAGTAGCAGTTAGCTACAGTAGCTGTTAGCTATAGTAGCAGTTAGCTACAGTAGCTG